GGTTAGAAGCAAGGAGTAGATTCTGTCTGCACTTGAGGGGACTTCACAAAGATGTGACCACCAGGGGGACAGATCATGGGGCCACCTGAGAGTGTGTCCAGCAGGATAATTGTGTTCCATTTAACATCACTTTATATTCCAAATTGAGAATTCCTGTTTGTTTGTCACTGTTTCATGGGTTTTGGTAAAACTTCGATGGGGACTTTTTATCAATTAGAAATACTAGTCTGCATTAATTCATGGAACATACATACGTACATACATACATACATAGAGAGAGGGAGAAAAATGATGAACATGAGAGTGAGTAGGAGAATGTCTCCTGCTCTCCATTGTGGTTAAGTAGTTAAGCACTTGTGGATGCCAGCGACTCGGTATCGTAAGAGAGCTTCCGTAGACCAACAGTGTTGTACGTGGACAATGTGAAAAGTCTATCTAAATGGTCTGTGTACAGGGACTGCCCCAGGAATTTGCTTCTTCCTGGCTTGCTGTCTGTTAGTGATGCTAATTAAAACAGTACACCTGTGACCGGTAGGCTTTCCTGAGCTGGTACAATATTGTAGCTCATTGTTGGTTTAGAGTCTCTGAGGCTTGAAGGAGATGAAATCACACTCTTGGAGGCACTACTCAGATTCAGGCCTGGAGGTCTGGTGCCGAAGTTAGCCTCAAAAGTCTTACATCATCTATCAAATACTGTAGTCAAAGAACTACTTTAAAAAACTATTAATAGTCTAAGGTCCAAATTAGACTATCCATCAGTCCACCCTCCATCCTTGCAGTCCTCCATTCAGCAGACTGCTGTTGCATTCCCGTTGTGCTCCAGGCACTGCACCGAGTCTAACCATGGACACAGCATGTGCTCGAGCCCTTAAGGAAATTTCAGTTCAATATGACACAAGCCGAGGAAGCAACGGCTGTCGTTTCTGTTCCCATGCAGTTTATAATGTTCCAGTGATAAGATTGTATTAAAACAAATCTTTGGTAAATGCATTTCCACACATGTAGTTGAAAATGAAGAAATGATGTGCTGTTTAAGAGTCTAATTAAGAGAAGTGGTTAGTTCTGTCATCCAACATTTAGCACACAGGTAGTGAGCAGTTACTCTGCACTGGTCCCTGTTCTAGGTTTGCAACTGAAAATAGATAGTAGGTAAATGGCTACATTGCTGCCTCTCCATTCCTGGCCCAGGAAATCATGGAGCTAGAGAAGGGCAGTGGGCAAGTGAGAATCCTCAGACGGCCTCACATTCTCTCGAGTCCGGCGCAAGTTACAGTCTCCGTGGGGCTCCTAACATGCTGCTTCACCTGCTCCGTGTTTTGTCTTTCATATGGGATCACTGAGATTATTTAACTCCAGAAAACTTTATATAGTCATGCCTTAGGATAGTGTTAGGATTTGAGAATCTAGGTCTCTAGCCATAATAAAAGGAAAACTACAAAGGTGTTTGAGTCATTTGTTTTTGAAATCAGATCCCTACATTAACCATCAAAGGAATGGTGAAAATTCTTATCCATCTGACAAATATCCCTTAGGAAAAAGAAAACTTCGATTTCAGAGGAAGATATCGTAATTCCAGAGCTTAAAATGAACTGCTGTCTTTCATTTTTCCAGATGAAAGAGTGAAATGGTAACAAAGGCTTAATATTAAATTGAACTAGCAGGAATTCAACAATTGTGTTCAAACAACAGTAGAATTGTAGGTCTTAGCCAGCCATAAACTTACAAACCTCTGATGAAGGGTGTCAGGTGGGTATAATTTATTTAGCATGTCTTGAGGTATGGAAAGGGGGTAGTGCTGAAGTCTAACCTGTAATTAAAGAGCAAGACCCAGCGAGGAGTGCACGTGCCAGGACACCCGTGCCAGGCAGGGTTGCTGGCAAGGCAGACAACTCGGCAGCTCAGGAGGTGGTGCGTTGCACAGATCCTGATGGGTCTCTCTACAGTTCTGAAAGCTCGTGTTTTTATTCTTCTGTTTATGTGGGAATTCGGCTACAAGTTGTTGAAACTAAGGAACTTAGAAATTTCTTAGGTCAAATCAAATGCCACTATTGAAATAGGTCTACTTTCAAGATAAAACAAAACTGTTCAGCTCAGATCTAAACAGAATTAAACTCTGCTGTATACCGCAAAGGCTGCCAAACGAGTTCTGGCAGATTACCCTGAAGAAAGAGTTTCAAAGATAAAGGCCCTTAACTAACTATATGCTTCTAATTCTGGGACTTCCACCTGAGAGATGCTTATGTCATCAGTAGCACAAGAGCCAGTATCTTGGTGGAGAATCAAATTAAAACAGCAGGCCATACTCCATTGCAAAAGTGTCATCACCCCCAAATTGTTTTGAGTGAGAAAGGTTACCATGTGTCCATGTGTTCTAAGCAACACTTAGTAGATTAAGATTCTAGCCTAACACAAAAGCTGACATAGATCCCCTTTTTAAATAAGACAGAGTATACAGAACTGTGTATACATTATAAATGAATACCCAAAGACCCAGCCCTTTGACTGGAAATGTAGTTATTTAGAGTTTGTTATACTGGAATGTGACCCATGCACAGTCCTAGGCTCTTTGCTTTCATTTCAGATGCCACTTGCATCCAGATGGGGTGAAGAATCTGTGTCTACTTTCTTTGCCCTCCCTTGCCCCCAGGTGCCTCGTTGGCAGGAGGCTGCCCGCCTGGCCCCATGTCTAGTGCTTGGCTCTTCCCAGCAGGGGCACGGCCCCATCCTTGTTCATGTTTTCGTGGTGCCACTAGGGGGGCACTTGTGCCTGGAAGAGGTGGAGGGGAGACCTCATGTTAGGTAAAATACAAGCCTGATACTTGGACAGAGACCCAAAATGACAGCCGTGTGAGTGCCCATGTTCCTGGCTGGCTGCGACCCCCACAATGGGCATTGTCCCCACACATGGGCTGATGTGGTGTACCCCCAAGGAGGAAGGACATGGCTCTTTCCTTCTGGCCGCAACTCACGGGTGCCCACCTCACTTTCAGTCAGGTCATTTTGCAGTAAGGAAGAGTGAGACTAATGGAGCATCTCTGCCATGATGGCCCTCGTCCTAAATTGATTGGAGCACTCCCACACGCCTTTGTTAGGACAGCTCCCTTGCCCAGTCCTGGCAAATTAGTTTTCTCAAAGAACTGGACATAGTCAGAGAGTAACCAGCACTGTGGCTTCATCTTTAAAGTTACCGTAGTGGCTGCCGGGTTCAGAGTGTGCCCTAGAACTGGCCACGCCCATCTGATGCAGGAACCATGTATTTTTTTAAAAGTTTGTTGCTTGACTACTAGAATTCACTTACCTAGTTTATAGAATTATAGTGGGATTGTATATTATACTTCATTTTCTAGGGAATTAAAAAATGTGCTAGAGAATGATTATCATGGTAAAAAAAAACTTGTTTCAATTTTTTTTTCAAAAAAATTTTAATGTCAGACAAAGCATATGTTAGAAGAAAGTGGATGACTGTATGTCAGGGTTATTTGTTTCAGAAAAGATAGCATTTTGAAGTCCTGGGCTGTCTCTTGAGGACAACCTCACTGGAGCGCAGCTGTGGCTGGGGTGTCCCTGCGAGTACGCTGTGGCGAGCGGCCGTCCTGACCAGCCAGCAAGTGGCCAGGTCCAGGAGGAGACAGAACCAGTGCCAGAGTGTTCTCCCACGAAAGCCCACTTGGCTTTTTTTATAACTACGTCATCATCCTCAAAAGGTGCGCCTGTCAGTGCCACACTACAAAGGCACTCTTCCGATGACAGCACCCTGGCGTTCCAGGCTGGCTGAACAGGCGGAAGTCTGGCCCGTGCTCTGCTGTGGACGCCCCTACTGCCGTCCCTGGGCTGTCCTCTCTATGTCTCTGTCACAGAAATGAACCCCAGAGTGATGAACCTGTACAAAACAGTTAGGTGTCAGCTTCTTCCTTGATTAGAAAGCAAGCAGAGCAAGTTTAGAGAAAGCCGGGAGCCCTGGCAACTTCACCCTTCCACCGCGAGTCCCACGCTGCTGCTGGTGGCTAACCCTGGTTCTTAGCATTTGACTCTTTGGGGGAAAAGAGTGTGCATTCCATTAGATTCTATAGATTTACATTGTTATGATTTCTCAATTCTGTCCCATTTTTCTTCTGTGCTTTTTTGCTTTGTCATGAAATGTAATTATGGTAAAACATGGAAGGTTTTAGCTTTAGGAAAACTAGGCCATCTGAAAAGCAGTTCATGTAGCAATAATCATTGCAGGGTAAAACTTTCTGAACCAAGAAAATTACTAAAAATATGTAAACTCAGGACTTTACCTTTTTTTAGTCATGTTAAATAAAATATAATCAGTATAAGTAATTAAACTCACTTAACGAAGATTAACTGTATATTTGGAGCAAAACAAATATATATGTATATATGTCTAAAGACTATATTTACATGATACAGAATTTTCTTTGTGTGTGTATTAGTCTGCTAGGACTGCCATAACAAAATACCACAGAACAGTGGCTTAAAGAGAAATTTATTGTGTCAGTTCTGGAGAATGGGAAGTTCGAGATCCAGGTGTTTGCAGGGTTGGTTTCTCCTGACGCCTCTCTCCTTAGGTTGCAGATGGACACATTCCTGCTGTGTCTTCACATGGCCTTGCCTCTGTGTGCACGCACACCCCTGGTGTCTCTTTGTGTCCAGATTTCCTCTTCTCCTAAGGACAACAATCAGATTGACTGAGGGCTCAACCTTACAGCCTCATTTTAACTTAATCACCTCTTTACAGGCCCTGTCTCCAAACAGAACTACATTCTGAGGTACTGGCTTATGGCTTAAACATAGGAATCTTGGAGAGACACAATTAGTCCATAACAGTGTATAAAATGTGAAAATATTAATAATCGTGAGTGACAAGGCCCTTTTGGGTGAAATTTAAATGAAGACATTTGCAGGTTTCCTCAGTTGCTTTCATTGTGTTCCCATATACAATATTCTGAAAATACTGAGACTGAATTCTTTCCTGTGCTGTGTTTCTGTTTTGGCAGGCCTGGCAGCTACGATTCAGCCACCTCGTGGGCTATGGTGCCAAATATTACTCTTACTTGATGTCCAGGGCAGTAGCTTCCATGGTTTGGAAGGAATGTTTTCTACGGGATCCTTTCAACAGGTAATAAGTGGGGGATGTTCATAAAATGCCCTCTCCTTAATTAACTACAGTAATCCCCCTGCTCTGCATCCACAGTTGGGCTCTGAACCTGGCAGACAGTGGAAGTGCTGGGAGGCCATCTCCTCCACCGTCCACACCGCTCTCGGGTCCTTCCTGGGAGCCCCCCCGCCCCTATTCCAGAGGTGACCATGGCCCTGAACTCCGCCCTACGGACGGCTCTGTAGTTCTGCAGCGGTGGTGGTGCAGTGCCCTCCCGTGTGTTCTCTCTGTCTCACTAGCCGCTCCCGTTGTCATTTCCTACGCTCAGTGCTTCCTGTGGCTCTTGACAGGCTTCCTACGTTCGGCACAAGCTTCTGAAGTTTCACTCATGTGGACGTCTTCTTTATTGCCCAACAAAGGACCCATTACTGTTCCTCATTTGGGAGCAGCACTTTTGGAAACTTTGTTTGTTGACATTAATGCCCAGTTTCTGGAAAGGTCCCCCCTGCCTGACTTCTGGAACACTTTCCTTTCCTGGAAAGGTCGTCTTCATGGACAGTAGTGGCAGTCTGGAGAAAGAGAGCTGCTGTACCAGCTGCTCCTGACACAGCTCCCCTTGTGGTGGCCACACATTGCCACCTAGACAGTGCAGGTGGCTGCAGAACTCCTCCCCAACAGCGCTTTCTGCCATCCTGCCTGTAGATGCCCTCCTGTGCAGCCCCGTTCACTTTTCCTTTAGAAGGCTAACTAAAATGTTTGTGTGGTACTCCGTGGTCCTCTCCCAGGAGCACATTTCACCATGTTAGCTAGTGAATATGATGAGCCTTTAATGATTCATCGAGAAAATCTGGAATAGGTAAATTTCAATTACGTATATACGTGATGCCCACCCCCTTCCCCAGAATGGAGGCAGCACATGACACTATAGGGGCTGGGAAGTGGGAGGAAGTGTTGGACCCTGGGATAGGTGGTCCTGTATTTTTTTTTTTTTTTCCTTTGTGTCTTTTTTACTGACCGGTAACAGGATCGCAACCCTCGGTGTTGCGCCCGTACTGGGGACCGGCAACGGGATCGCAACCCTCGGTGTTGCGCCCGTACTGGGGACCGGCAACGGGATCGCAACCCTCGGTGTTGCGCCCGTACTGGGGACCGGCAACGGGATCGCAACCCTCGGTGTTGCGCCCGTACTGGGGACCGGCAACGGGATCGCAACCCTCGGTGTTGCGCCCGTACTGGGGACCGGCAACGGGATCGCAACCCTCGGTGTTGCGCCCGTACTGGGGACCGGCAACGGGATCGCAACCCTCGGTGTTGCGCCCGCACCGCGCTCAGCCAGTGAGCAGGAACCGGTCTCCACATGGGATCCAAACCCTTGGCGGGAGCGCTGCCACACTCCCAAGCAGCGCACTCTCCAGTGCACCACCGGGCCGGCCCAGGTGGTCCTGTTTTCCCAGTTTCTTAGTAAAACCAGGTACAGTTACACTTGCATTGTGTGGAGAGGTGCAGAGGATCTCACACTGGGTGAGGAGGAACCAGGAGATCTCACGTTGGCTGGAGAGGCGTAGGGGATCCCACATTGGGTGGAGGGGAGCAGGGGATCCCACGTTGGGTGGAGAGGCATAGGGGATCTCACGTTGGGTGGAGAGGCATAGGGGATCTCACACTGGGTGAGGAGGAACCAGGAGATCTCACGTTGGCTGGAGAGGCGTAGGGGATCTCACGTTGGGTGGAGGGGAGCAGGGGATCCCACGTTGGGTGGAGAGGCATAGGGGATCTCACGTTGGGTGGAGAGGCGTAAGGGATCTCACATTGGCTGGAGAGGCGTAGGGGATCCCACGTTGGGTGGAGGGGAGCAGGGGATCCCACGTTGGCTGGAGAGGCGTAGGGGATCCCACATTGGCTGGAGAGGTGTAGGGGATCCCATGTTGGCTGGAGAGGTGTAGGGGATTTCACGTTGGGTGGAGGGGAGCAGGGGATCCCACATTGCGTGGAGGGGAGCAGGGGATCTCACGCTGGGTGGAGGGGAGCAGGGGATCCCACGCTCAGTAGAGGAGGTTTTTTCCTTTGAAAACAAATCAGTAACTGATCTGGTATAATAGTTGTTTAAAGCATTTTACGTCCTCACCACACAAATGAATACATCTCCAAATACCTCTCAGGCAGCTCTAGTTGGTGGCTATTATCCTCACTCATTTAACATGGTTTTAAATAAATGGCATATTAGATTTGAGAGTGCCCTAGAGTTTTCAAATGGCATTCATAGCAGCCTTGGCAGAGCAGGTACTTTTTATAAGAGAAAGCCGAGGCTCAAAGAAGATAAGTAATTTGTTCAAGGCTTCACAATTGAAAAACTGGACCAAGATTATAATCTAGGTTTTCTAATTTCTAGTTTCTTCTCCATCCCCACCTTCTTCACACCTCAGCTTTTCATAAAATTTGACATAGATATTGATTTTTCAGCAATTAATAATCACATTCGGTTCCAAAGTAGTTTGAACTTGCAAATATGGCATAGAATTTTTAAGTGTTTTACGGCCTGGTACCCACATGTTATTGTGTCTCCGACCATCTGCAAACTGCAGACATTTGGTCTGCTTTTCATATCTTATTATTTTCAAAGGATCTACAACCAAACGACTATAGTAAATCAGTTTTAGGGATTACAACTCTTTACTGGAGATTTCTATAGCATAGGCAAAATATCATCTTGTTTGAAAGAGCTGTACTTTACTAGAAAACCACCTACTGTTAAATATATATTTTTTCAAATATTTATATGTGCATTCTTGCCTAGACATGTAGTTGTAGTTTTATGTGTTCATAAAAGTAAGCTAGTAAAAATGCTCACTGGACTAGAAAATTTCTAACCTCTGTCAAAGGATCCTTTTTTATTCCACTTCTGAAAAACAGGCAGGCTGGGCATCTACATTGGGAAGTCAGGCTGTGCAGAGCTTAGGCAAGCCATGGGCTGGAGGCCCATGAGGAGAGGGGTTTGATTTAAGAGAAGGGGTGCTATATCCCGTGGCCAGAGGGGACACTGCACTCCCTAAGCCAGGGGACGACAGGCCTCTCAGCTGCCCCTGCCCCTGAAGGGGCCCTGCCTCTGTCCATGTTTCCTGCCTGGCCTTAGTGCTCACCCAAGAAGTGACCAAGGGTGGCGTTTGATGTCCACATGTTTTTGATGCTGTGATGCTATCAAAAATTCTGATTAGAAGCAATGTTTATAAAATTACCCATACGTAAAGATGCTCCAGAGCTAGTGGAATGAAAATAATATCTAAATTGATTTAGTGTTTTATAATCTGTAGTCATTTGCCTTAAAGGAATTGCATTTTCCATAAAATACAAAAGAGTAGCACCAAATAGCTTGTTTCCAGGGGCCATTAATTTGGAGATTTCTATCCGTAAAAATTCTTCAACACCTGCCTTGACATGTTGTTATGGACAGTGTTCCTTATACAACTCAGTGTCACATAGGTGTGTCCTGCTGATAGAGTATGAGAAGATGGAAACAAGGCTCCTTCATCGAGTCGCCACCAGCCAAGTTTCCCGGTCCATTTGCCATCACCCTTAGCCAAGGCGTTCTGCTGTGATTAAACCTCTCCTGCCAGCTCTTTTTCCTTCATTCTTATTTTAGAGTGTTATTTGTTTTCTCTTTGTTAGGTGCCATCTCAAATTCTTTTTTTGAAAGTAAAGAATAGCATAAATAATTTCAAACCTCACTTCAAAATAATCCTAAAAATATGGACATATAATCTTTTTCTATAATACGCAAACTAAATAATCCTTTCTACAAAGAGAGTTTGCTTGCTAACAAAAGAGAAAGCCAAAAGTACGGTTTTCCTTTTACAGTGAACATATCACACCTGGTTTTATTTATTTTAGAATAATTTAAAAATTAGAATTAGGTTTTTAGAAGGAAGAAAATAATTAAGGGCCACATTGTCACATGATGGCAAGTTTTATGAATGTGAGTTGAGTGTGGCTTCGTTGTGGAAGCTCAAGACAGGTGAGAGCAGAGACCACGCGGGCCGTGTGAGCAGGTGTCCTTAACAGTGTCCCCTTCCCCAGGGCCGCCGGGGAGCGCTACCGCAGGGAGATGCTGGCCCACGGTGGGGGAAAGGAGCCCATGCTCATGGTTCAAGGTAAAACACAACCAGGGCTGGTAACTTTTCTGTGACCTTTCTTTCTTTCATTGTTTTATGAGTTATGTGTTTTGATATCAGCAGTTTGACTGTTTTTGCATCATCTCTAATGAAAGCTGTTTCGTGTCTTCTCCATATTTCCTTTTCCTTTAAAGAGATGTTCTAGCTGTGTATCTTGCTCTGAGCATTTATCTCCATGTGTCCCAAATAACAAATTAATTTGTAGTCACTGTGATTTATTTAGGTTATTTAGAGTAAAGTTTCAAGTTCTGGCTTTCAAAACGTTATTAATAATGTAATAGGAAATTGTTAAATTTGTTTCAATGTTGTAAATTTATCATAAATTTTCAGGAAATTGGCCTTTAGATTGTAATAGGTCACAATGTATTTTTTTTTTAGCCTACAGAACTCATCTATTTCTTATCTATTTCTTCTTCTGAAAGCTTAGCTACACACCTTTGAGAAAGTCCAAGGCATGAGGTTAGATTTTTTATCTGTTGAAAAATCAGAACCTAATTAAATCTTCTCTTTGAGGTATCACAATGCTTATTTTTCTACATAATTTTTGAGTAATTTTAAAAATTTAAGTATTTTTATTGAAACTTTAACTGTTAATGGAAATAACCAATATATTGACAATTACATTTGCAGCTGAGCCTTCTGACTATCTGATAAAACTGCATTTAGGAAATAACTCCCCATTTTGAGGAAGTGTTGTTTCGATTGTAGTAGCTGAGTGGATCCCCGTAATAATGGGTCTGACTTAAATGTCTCCTTGCCGAGATCTGTTGAGACTAGTGTCTATAGCCAATGCTTAGCGTAACTCCAGAACCTTGCCTTCAGCCAGTCATTTATTCAGCAAACATTTGTTGAGTGCCAGTTATGTGCCAGGCACGGTTACAAGTGCCAGAGATGAAGCAGTGAGAGATGCTGAGACAAAAATCATGCTATTTTAGACCTTGCATTCATTCGATCAGCTTTTCCAGGGGGCGTTCATCCAGGCTTGATCTGCGCAGCACCACAGCAAATTTAGAAAGCAAATCAGCCAGCCCAGTGATCCCACTGCTTTCTGTAGCTAACAGTGGGTTATGCCTCGGAGTGGCCATAGTGATAAAGAGTGCGTGCTGATGCCGCCTCGGTTTTCCAATTGAGCCTTAATGGCCCTTACTGAACTTTGCTATATCCTAGAACTATTTTAAGTCATTTTCATATATTGGTTAATTTAATTTCTTAGTAACCCTATGAGGTGGGAATTGTCATTATGCCCATTTTATAGATGATGAAGCAGGTCGGGTCCCCTGCAGAAAGTGGAAGAGCCAGGATTCGAACCAGGACCCCTCCATAAGGGGGTGTGTTATGGACCCAGGCAAAAGTGAAATTAATAAGCACATCAGAGGAAGCAATTGTTTGTTTAAACTGTGTACTTCTATCTGGTAGTTGTAGTGCTGTGTAGACAGCCACCATGCGCTGAGAACGGAAGAGATGTTCACGGACTGCTTTCTCTTATAGATGATTTCTGTTAGGTATAGTCTCCCAGTAGCCATGCTTAATTTATCCTTTCTGAGACCAGGCTTTAAATACCCTCTGCACAAACATACTAGTTTATATTTGATCCTATCAAAAGAAAAAAAATATTAAATCCTTTCAATGTTTGTCCTTTGGCTTGTGTATTTTTCTACTCAGCTTCCAAGGATGTTGCAACAGCTTCTCTAAAACTTCTGTTCTTTATCTGAAACATTTTTGTGTTAAGAAACTCAATATTTTCTGCACTGAAATTCACACACTCATGAGAGAAAAACAAGTCCATGGTTTAGACCAGAGATGATGAAGTATTCAGATTCCAGTTAACACCAACAATAGAATGATTCTGCTTTTAAACTTTAATATTTTTCTTAATATTGTTCTGTCAGATCTCATTAATCCACATGATTTGTTACATGTCAAAGATGAATGCAAGATGTGCAAAGAGGTTCTGCCGGTTGTCACTTTACAGGGTCGGATTTGTAAGGCAACACCAGTAGTGGCTTCTCGTTTTCTTGTATGCGTCCAGCCTGCACCCCAAATCAGAATTCTTAGATCATGGCCCATAGCCTTAACATTTGGGATTCCCTGGGAGTGACTGGTTAAATTACTGACGTTTGTGGTATAAAAGCATACACACTCTAGTTGGTATTATTCTTCTATGAAAAGATAATTTTGTAGATGCTTTATATTTTTTATTTAAATACTTACTAGATAAATGTATAAAGTATTATATTAAGTAGCAAAAGGCAAAGAAACAGAATACCTAGCTTCAAATTGTGTGCCCCCCTGACCAACTCACAGCTCGTTTACCCCCTTAATTAAGACATGTTTCAGATGAACTCAGCTATTCTTAGGGTCAGAATGCCTTTGTGTTCTACGTAGGCTCTCTGAAAGATACACATCTAGAGGGGTCAAGCGGAGAATGCTTCTGATCTCTGAATAATAAATAGCACATAGGTGAACTTTTAGGTCATTTACCTTTTTTCTGAGTGAGTCATCCTTTGGGAACCTGGCTCTGCCTCTGAGCTCTGAGTCCCTGGCCACTTCTCATGGCCATCGACAGATAAGCCTCACGGTAGCCTGAGCCCTGTCTAAAGGAAGGCCCAGATAACACAGAATTCCTTTACTTTCTTTTCTCCCTGTTGTTTGCTCCACATTAATCAGTTAAAGGCCACTGCTAGGCAACCGTGTGTCTGTGGCCTCTAATTCCTGGCCGCAAAGTACTTATCCAGCAGTTTTTCTTACTTAACTCTACATAGAGATCGTCACAGGAAAAATCCAACTTGCAGCAGCAAGGTGTTTCTTAAAGAGCCTTTTTTTTTTTTTTCTTCTCAGCACTTTAAATACCATTTGAAGACAACAAAATAATGCTTTAAACAGTATTTCCTTCCCCACTGAAGAAACTCAGTTACAGAGTAAAATAGAATTGGATTCAAGCTCGGCTGCTTACTCTCTGTAAATTACTTGGGAAAGTCACTTGAACTCCCTAGGGGAGATGAAATGTGTTTTCGTTCAGAACACTTCTTTGATCTGCTTCTCCTTTTTCACTCCCTCTCTGAAGGTGGGAGGAGGATGGGTACCCACTCATGCACAGACACCAATAGAGAGTCAGAGCATTACAGATTGGCAATATGGCCTTATCTGTTCTCTAAAAAAATATTTTTTGTATAAAGAAAATCGGTTTATTTCTTGCAGTTTTGGAGGCTGTAAAGCCCATGGTGCAGGGGGTGCATCTGTTCAGGGGCTTCACTTGGGTGAGAACTCCCTCCAGGGTCCCGTTGTGATGCAGGGTATCACCTGGTCAGGACAGCAAGAGCTCTCTCAGGGGCTCTCATAAAGCCACCAGTCCACACCATGGTGGCTCGTCATTCTGTGAATGGATTAAACCAGTCACAAGGGCACAGTCCTCAGGATCCAATCACTTCTCAAAGGGCCAACCTTTCAAATATCGTCATCGAATTTCTCACCTTCTCAACACTGTTACAGTGGGGATTAAGTTTCCAACACATAAACTTTTGGGGGACACATTTGACCCATAACACCCAGGCTCAGGAATTATAATGCACAAGTGCACAGTCCACTTTATAAAAAATCCCCAAAAGATGGTGTTACAATAACTAAACAGGCTTTTTAAATTTATTTTATTTTTGTCATTGTACATGTAGGTGGGCTGCAGTTTGTTGTTTCAATACATGCATATATTGTATAATGATCTAATCAGAATAGTTAGCATGTCTATCACCTAGACATTTATCATTTCTTTGTGGTTATAGCAAAAAGGATCCTCTTTTCTGGCTTTCTTCAAATATATACCATATAATTAGCTGTGGTCACCCTAGAGCAGCAGAACTTATTCTTCCTCTCTAACTAACTTTGTGACTTTTTACCAGTCACCAGCCTTTCCCGGGCTGCCCTTCCCCCCTCCTTTTCCCTGCCTCTGCTAACCACTATTCTCGTCTATGTTCCTTTTTTTTTCTTTTTCCCTTTTTTTTTAGTTTGTTTTTCTTACTTGACCCATGATAATTGTATACATTTATGAAGTGCAATATGATATTTGGTACATTCATACTGTGTGCAGTGATGGTATCAGGGTGCTTGGTGTATCCATCACCTCAAACATTTGTCACTGTGTTAGGAATATTCAGCATCATCTTGATTAGCTGTTCAAACATACACAGTACTCTGTTGTTAACTGTGGTCTCCCTATGTTACTATAGACCCTAGATCCCATTCTTCCTAGCTCTGTAATATTCTTGTATCCACTGACTACCCTCTCCCCCTCCCCACTTCTACTTCCTCCCACCAGTCTCTAGCAACCATTATTCTCCACTTGTATCAGATCAACTTTTGTAGCCTCCACATATGAGCAAGAATGTGATATCTCTCTCCCTGTGCCTAGCTTATTTCACTTAACATAATTTTATCTAAGCACATCTGTGTTGTTGCAAATGGCAGTTTCATTCTTTTTTATGGCTGATTAGTATTCCATTGTGTGTATATACCATGTTTTCTTTAATCATCCATCTATGGACACTTAGGTTGGTTCCAACTCTTGGATATTGTAAATAGAGCTGCAGTAAACATGGGAGTGTACGTATCCCTTCTTAACCTTGTTGATTTTCATTACTTTGGATATATACCCAGTAAGTGGATTGCTGGATTGTATGGTAGATCTATCTGTAGTTGTTTGAGAAATCTCCATACTGTTTCCCATAGTGACTATGCTAATTTACATTCCCACCAGCAGCATATAGGAGTTCCCCTTTCTCCACATCCTCGCCAGCATTTGTTATTTTCTGTCTTTTTGATAATAGCCTACCTGTGGTGAGATAATATCTCATTGGGGTTTTGATTTGCATTTCTCTGATGATTAGTGATGTTGAGCATCTTTTCATATGCCTGTTGGCCGTTTTATGACTGCTTTCCAAACACTTCTATTCAATTTCTTTGCCTAGTTTTTAATCGGATTATTTGAT